TATTGATGTTTGTACAAGAAAATTAAAGTAATGCTTATTTGTAAGCGATTCGAAAATAATTCTAAGTGAAATATGATAGCTTTCATATAAATTATAAATTAAATTATGCTCATAAATTATGTGGTAGTACGTTTTAAACCAACCTAGACCTACATATTTAAAAATGTAGGTCGAAGAATTTAATTCTTTTGCTGTAATCTGTTTAAGCCTAAGCTCTTCCCATATTATACTCTTTCCATTTGTGCGGAAAACTTCTTATAAGAAAATAGATAGGTAATAATAAAATTATTATAAAATCATTAAATAAATATGTCTAAAGTGAGCAATATTAGAAGTAGTAGTAATAAGGATATTGGAGTATTTAAAAAAATATTTTAACCTATCGGTTTAATAGAAAAACACTCAAAATAACAAAAAATATTTTTTCCAACTAGACTTCTACAAGCGCTGTTAAACAATTTTTATTTGTCTCTGACAGTTACGTCCTTTAAAAATTTTTGTTAATTATTCACCTTCTGCTACTGTTAAATTTATATTTATACTAGCATTGCCCGCGTTCAGATGACCAAAAACCAAATTCTTAGGTTTTACATATTAGTATACTCTTACAATGCAGTTTTTGTGTTTTTTCTCAGAAATGAGATATTTTCCCGCGGTAAAAAGTATCCTATATGTTGACCTGGATAACCAGCTATCATCATACCAAATTTCATCAAATCTGTCTAGTGGTTTTCTCGTGATGCGGTTACAGACAGACAGACAGACAGACAAAAATTCTAAAAACTATAGATTCGGACTCTGTATCGATAATAATGTCTATTTCAATTAGATTTTCCAAAAAATATTTAATGTACAGATTGGTCTTAGTTACAATTTTATTATATGTATAGATTAAATTGTCGATAATTTTAAAACAATATATAAAACACCAGCGAAAGAAAGGGAGTTCTTAATGGCGATTTAGCCAATACTTCGCACAAAGAACGTTGTGACTTGACCAAAATAAAAACAAAACGTATACGGTTCCACGGACGGATATAAATGTTAAAATCTTAGAGATATCTATAAATAGATTTTTCTATGACATTTTAGCCTTAAATCGGGTGTAATAAATGTCTAGATAATAAGTAACAATTATACTTTCTTTAATACGAGTACACGCGAATAATATACCTAAGTGCTTTCGGATTATTCTGCAGATTAATTTTGATTTTTGGATCTTGATGTTTATAATGATTAACGGCAATCATGGGCACGGGAGAAATCGTCACGTAGCAGACAAAAACCAAACTTTTGAGAAAATACCGAAATTAGTTTTTTATTTAAGTAAGAATGCTCAAGTCTTATCGCTGTCAATAGGCAAATATAATCTACAACAGCGGACGCAAACCGCCAAGTACGTGACAAGAAGCATAACAGAATATAAGTTGTCCAAACGAGCTAAAACTAAAGTCTTTGGAGAAGTTTGTAAATATGTAGATAGTAACGTCAAGTTGGATCTACGAGACGTGAGCAGGCCCCCGGGACCGACAGTAATTTGTATCACTAAACATTTTTGTCCTTGGTGATGTCTTAGCTCAGATGTTTTTCTTAATAAATGCAAAAGTAAGCAATGGTATATTAATATATGGTAATAGCGGTAGTAAAATGTTTGTTTGGGAAACCAAGTGAAGCGGGTTCAAATCCCGGGTTTTGTTGCTCTGATATTCTAATATTGTCATGGGCAAATTATTTTCAGTGATATATAGATAAATAATTAAACTTTATTTTTCTTCATTGCTTTACGGTGAAGGAAAAGGTCATGTGTATGTCTGAGAAAAGCTAGTAAATTTTCGTAAAATATGTGAAGTCTGCTAACTCGTACATAGCCAGCGTAGACTAAAGCCTGCTCCCCCACGTATTGAAGACAGGGTCTTGCTTTTTTTGCCTTGCTCATAAGTGGGATCCTATAAAAGGCTAAATCCAATAAAACTTAAAACTCCTATACTATCTGTTCTATCACTAGCGAACTCTGGCTTGACCGTGCATTTTAATTTGAAAAATATTTTCTTAAATAACACACTCAACAATACAGTTGTTAGGAGTTAAATTTTATAAATATCAAAAGAAAATTTATCTAGGCTGTCAAAATTTTAGCCCTCTAGGTCCAGTAGTTAGATAAGTACTTTTATAAACATATACTCATGTAAATGTTATATAGGAGTTTAAACATTTAAATGGGTAGTGAGAAAAATTTCGACTTTAATGCACAGTCTCGCACTTTTGCTATATGTAAATACGTAGGCGTTATATAAATAACTATTTATAAATATGGATTAATAGTAATATATGTATATCTTTTAATCAGTATTTTTTGTAGTTTATTACTGTATTTATAAGCCATGTGAATACTAAAAATAATTCTGGGCAAAAAGTAAAACTTATATTGCAAAATTTAACCATTTAATACTTTGAGTTAAAATATTGTTTCTATATTAATTTGGTTATAGTAACGTCCTCGAAATGATTGTCTCTGAAAATTATTTTAAAAGATTCACACCAAATACGGGGCAATATCACCGGTACATGTTAATTTATTCCGAAGCGTGAAGCGAAGGGCGATGGTAACATTAAAATTTGAGCCTCGTCAGGTGCTAAGTCCATAATTTCCCGGGGGAACAATTCAGGATCGCGTTTTAAGGGTTTTCATGAATGGAAACTCTAATTTCTATTGTTGTCTTATTCCTGTTTAGTCACATAATTTAAAGCTAAATTTATCCCCCTGACCGTGAAATCTGAGACTTCACGTACAATAGAGAAAAATTTTCTTAGCCATTTTTGGTAAAATGAGAACGGGTAGGATTGAGTGAACGAACAAAAAAGATCTATATTTGAGCTTAAGCTGGCTTTACATATGAAGAAAAAATAATATTTGTACTGTCTGAATATATTTGTATTAATTTTACTTTTCTTTTTGCTTTCAGGTACAATAATAAAAGAATGTTTTATTATAATTTGCTAAATGGTAAGCGCCTGCAGATTTTTGTTAGCAAAAACGCATTTTACAACATTATTGAATATCCCTAGGGAAGGTAAATTGCAAACAAAGTTGACGGACGAAACTTAGTTTCGGTTCGTTACAGTCGCTTTACATGCAAAGTTTAAGTTACGCTGTTTATATAGGATTCGTTGTGACCATTGATGAATAATTTAAGTTTAAAAACAGCCATAATACCTATAGGTATTAGATAGCTATACACTACCTTTCGTATTGCTCTATGAGATTTTGTTTGCAATTTTTTTTAAATCTCGCACAAACAAAAACACTTGCTGTAACGAGTTAGATATTACTTTTACTAACTAAAACTAGTTAACCGACTTCAAATTTATTTTTTCCTGGTGAAATTTCTTTTTGAAATTTTTATAAGATCATAATATTATTTCATAATATTAACTAAAAAAAATATGTAATTCGAATCCTTTTTGGCGAAAATGTCGCGTAATCCAAACACAAAAAATACAACTGAATTGAGTGACTCCTACAAATTCGAAAAAAGTAGCTTAAATCACTCGGATAATGATAATTAGTGACAATTCTCAATATCAAATTAAGTACAGAGTTAATCTCCTCCATCTTAATTCCAAACACGATATAATATGTGTATACTTTTTAACTTATATAACTAGATAATATGTATGCATACTTGCTTGTTGTTAATGTTTATAACACGTGCCAGACAATTGTCCGGCCAGACTAATAGAGTTAGGTATCGACTAAAGTTTTAGGTTTCAGACATGATGGACAAACTTTGCGGGACAGCTGGACGTGGGTTTCGCTATTGTTGATTTTAATGGTTATGGGATTAGGTTAGGTTCTATAAAATAATAGAATTATTTTTAAATTTATATAGTATCTATATATTAGTACGTGAAGCAAAAACTTTGTACCCCTTTTTACGAAAATTGCGCGGACGGAGGAGTATGAAATTTCCCACACTTATAGTTTATATAGAGAAGGAGTGCAGAATGCTAGTATATTTTTTTAATTATGTATAAAAATACATTAAATCAATAATAAAACATTACATAAACTACGAACCAAATACATTTTGACACACACAAGCATATATATGTACTCTTTGGTTAATTGTTAAAGTCTGTGGTCAAATTGAGAATTATGTATTAATATGTACATGAAGCAAAAACTTTGTATCCCTTTTTAAGAAAAATCAATAACAATCATGATCGAAGTTCGACCACTCAGAGAACTCTAGTTATTTTAAAAATATATGTTACTAACGACTTATCTTCGCTCGTCTCAGATGTCTCCCTAGGGCATTCAAAGTAGCCTATGTGCTACTCCTGGTGATAGTCTATGTGTGTACTGCAGTTCATTCAAATATGTCAAAGAAATAAACATATACACAAACACACTTACAAACTTTCGCATTTATAGTAGTAGTCCGATTTTATTAATGACTGTTAATTTGTGATGTTGTAGGAGGTAATATCTGTGTCTACTGCACCGATTTAGATGAAATTGGGTAAGACGATAGTTTGAGACCCTGGGAAGGACATAGGATACTTTTTATCTCGGAAATCGTCCCTTAAGGGGGGGGGGGGAATGGGGATGAAAGTTTGTATGGGGGACCAACCTGAGTGAGGGTGAGTCGCTATACTGTAATATGTTTAGACAGGCGAGGATAAAAAACGTGACGCCAGTTTAATACATATTGGTTCACTGTGCTGTTCAAGAAAAGAGAACAGACGTATGACACTGAAGACCATATTATCTTTGCCACAAAGAATTTAAATGGACGTAGTGAAATTTTGAAAACTTACATTTTGGAGACGACATACTGGTCCCACTTTTATCTAAAATTCCTGAATAGTAAAGGTAAGGGTGATGTGATGAAGGCCACTTTTATTAAAGTCCACGTGAACATAATCTCAATTCTTTTCATATTCATATGAATCCTTAGAAAATATTATATTTATATAATGTTACACACATAATGCTACGAGCTCATGTGTTGTTGTTCCAAGACGAGACAGCTTATTATAAATTCTATATTTAACGTCCCTAACTTGGTTGGCAGTTTCTTTTTTGCCTTTTTAAGTAATCCTGAGATATGGGACCTTTGGCTCAGTTGGTGTTTTAATTGCAAATCCTACACAAGACCTTAATAAATAGTATGTAATTTTAATTTAAACATTTGTTAGTGAATATCATTGTTGACAAAATGGGGACAACTATTCGGTTCGTTAGCTACCCCGTAGATACGATAAAGTTGCGATGCCCCAACTTGCTAACTATGTGCCAGCGTCCTTTCAACTTAAACGCAGGCATAATCTTAGATATTGTAGTTAAGGTCCAGTAATTGCTTCGTTGGAATTTATTTTTGACACCCAGTTTACAATGCTCTTCTTGTAGTTGTTTTGATGTTCTATGCCACGATTATTAATAGTTAAATGAAATCATTGAACTACTATTATATATAGCAAAGTTTGAATGTTTCTTCATGCAAATGGGAGGACTGATTTTGATTGAAATTTACTATGCAGATAGGCCATGACCTGGAGTAACACAGAGGTTAGGCACCTTGAGCGTAGTGAATGTAAATAGCTATTAGTTTAATTTTGCCACGCTACTGTGGCGTAGTCTGGTTCTTCAATAGGAGGAGTTACAGCAAATTTTACAGTACACATTTTAGAAAAAAAAATATAATGAACATTTACTTTCTTTATTTGAATCTATACATTTATGTTACATACTTTTTTTTCATATGTATATCGGTAATTTCGAAGTTTCTGAATATTAATATTAAGATATATGTCTTACGACATGGACTGAATATTAATATATTACTTATAACTAATGTTAGAATACTTTAGTAAGTATACCTTAATAAATAACAAAGCTTTATAGAAATTGATAAAGCATAAACCACATCTTCATATGTTCACATTATTTGCATTTATTTTCCTTCGATTATAATGTGATAAATCGCATGGAAATCTAGTTCATTGGCTTGCGAAATTCATTGACCCGCTTAGTAGCAACTTGATAAAAGTTCAATTAACAGCATTCACAAAATTTACTTTTGAATTTCTTTAATGACAAATGAAATGAAAGAGGGGAAAATTGGATTTGGTAAGCCTTAAACTTTTTAATTACTTGATAACTCAACGATGGCAATTTTTAAGTTTTTTTTTTAAATTTGATTGACACTGCGACATTATCTTTTAATAAAACTTGGCCTTGACATATATATAATACGAGATTTTCCAATTAATATTAAAAATACGTAAATTAAACAATAAGCTCTAAAAGGGCGAAACGAGCGTTACAAGATTGGTGTGGAAAAAATTATATATTTAAACTAGCGGACCCGACAGACGTTGTCCTGTCTACACGTCTTTAATTTGAAAATTTCAAACTTTTTTTAATAAATTATTAAAAAAATGATGAATGATTTTGATGAAAATTATTATTCAAATTGTGAATCTAAACCATTCCCAGATCCCCTTGAACACACACAAAAAATTTCATCAAAATCGGTCCAGTCGTTTGAGAGAAGTTCAGTGACATACACACTCACAGAAGAATTATATATATAAAGATAAAAAAACAGAAACAAAAACTACATATATGAAATTAGTACCTACATACGTATACTATTAAGTTATATTTTAACTTACTCAAATATAGGTACTCGAAGCTGCACTGAGAGAGTGACAGAAAAAAAGGGTCATATAGAATAGTTTTCAACTTGAAATTGGAATTCGTTTTCATGCTGAATGAGTCTGACATATGATGCTTGTGGACAAATCAAAGAGCTCTAAAATAACTTTTGTTGTACATTTCCATTTGACATTGTAAATTATTCTATTAAAATAATCTATTGAAAATTATTTTTGGGACTTTTGTAAATTAAATCGCTTACTTCATCAATGAATAGGATATATTATAATAATTATTAATATAATTTTAATTTTTTTGATTATCTTTGTTATGGAACGGGCAGGCACTGTCCCGATTCCCTCCAAAAGTTGTCTGGTAAAGACTGCTTTTAGCAACTTATGTGTTTTTTCAGGCAACAACTATACCCATGTATTATCTTTATATTGTGTGTTCATTGTACAATAAGGAAAAAAATAACCATAATAAGTTACACGCCACAGTAATTTATAAGATATTTATCTAATATCTATAATCTATATACAGAATATAAAAGTGTTGAATATTTAAAGGTCATTAAGATACACGTACAAAACTTCTGAAATGAACGAGGCAGAAAGGCTTACCTCGTAGCTCTTAACGCCCTCTGCCCAGTCTGGCCTCTCGACATTGAGCCTTCAGAGGTCCCAGCTAAGCTTTATTAAGTCTTAGTATTTACAAACTTGGCTAAATTATGAAACTTAAGTTTTTAAAGGGTTTCTGTTGAAACTATAATTTCGCACCTTAATTTTCGTTGAGTTGTAGCAACGTACAGCAACAGCGGGAAAAGTCTTAAGAAATATATCTTAATTTTTTCCTTTAAGTACATAATATTTTAAGCTGGGCAAATGGCCTCTTGGTAATTTTAGGTGCAGTGTACAATATAACAAAGGCTTGCGATCGTAGTTTTCTTAAAAAAATAATCATTTCGTTAAACATATATAATAGTATTTTAAATATATAAGCACGAACATTTCTTGAGCTTTATAAATTAAAATAAATATGTTGACTAAGAATATTTTTTTAGAGCTCAGAGGTTGTTAAATTATACTAGATTATAGTTATTCAATATACTATACTATATTGAATAACTATGTACACTAATCTGTGTATTGTGAGTTGTTACCCGCAATGTTGTACCAAACACAATGTAAAGTGATCGATGTCAACTTGTAAGTGTTGTGACACACACTTGCTTCACAATTTCAATATGGCGTCAAGGGTTGAGGGACGTGATGGTGACTTACCCTACGCCTAGGGATTTGTACCTTACAGTGTACATACACTGTGGCTTTGTGATCCGAACCTTTGTATTGTTCGCTAATTTAAGGGTCATAGTTATTTAATATGCAAGTTTTATTGATCGTTTGGATCATTGTTAAATGAAAGCTGCGAGGAGTAAACAACTGTGATTCTTATACAAAATTTGGTCATTTTTAACCGGAATTAAAAGCAATTGTGCATATCCATGATAAATATTTGTAATATTTATCGTAATTTCAAGTCAGAATTTTATTTATTTATTTATTTATTTATTTATGTACCATAAAATATACGTTATACAAAATAAAATAACTAAATTTTGACAAAGGATAACTTATCTCCTTAAGAGATTTCTTCCAGAAACCCTTCAGAAGTGAGAAAATAAGTTAAAATAGTGCGGAGTAGGTACAGTACAGCATTGAATGGAATTGTCTTAATATTAAAATACATATATTAACTAAATATTATGATTATACAAATATATATATATTCACATACATATATACATACATACATACATACATACAAACATATATACTTACATATAAATACATACTAATCTACAATAATTTATGTCTGATTTGATAGATAGTATTGTTTAATTCTAAACTTAAATGTTGAGAATGAAGGATCATCTTTGAAAATATAATCAGGCAGTGAATTCCACAAACTTGCTGCCGTAACAGAAAAAGATTTTTTATAGAATGTAGTATTGTAGTGAGGAACCACTAGTTTGGGCAAATTGACACAAGAACGCACTGGTCTGCATCTAGGGGACACTAATGTGAAGCGTTCACTTAAATAAGAAGGTGTAGAAGTCTTCAAAATATTGTAAAGCACACATAATACACGAACGTTTCGGCGAAAACGAATGGGGAGCCACTTCAGTTGCCGTCGGAAAATACTTATATGATCAAATTTGTGCAATCCATATATAAAACGGATGCACAAATTCTGAAGGCGATCTAGCTTGTCGAGTAGCTCCTCGGTTGCATCAAGATAGCAGACGTCGGCATATTCGAGTAGAGGGATTAGCAGTGATTGAGCTAGGGTAATTTTAGTTTGAAACGGAAGAAAATTCTGTAAACGTCTCAAGGAATGAAGTGAATAATGTACGCGCTTACTGACCTCGTTGACATGCGCAGCCCAGGACAGGTTGCAGTCGATTGTTAAACCTAAGTTTTTACACGTGTCTGAGATATTGATGCAAGTGTTATCGTAGATGATGTCAGGCAGATTGTTGAAGTCGATTTTGTTCCGCAACTGCTTACTACCAATGATCATGGCCTGAGACTTTATTGGATTGACAAGGAGTCCGAAAGACTATGCCCAATCTTTGATTCTTGCCAAATCAAGGTTTATCCTGTCTATTTCAGACGCTAAGTCCCCGACCAAAGCATGTCTATAAAGTTGCAGATCATCCGCATATAGGTGGTAGTTAGAAGAGAGTACCTGTGGGAGTTGGTTAATAAAAATTGAAAAAAGCAATGGCGATAACACACCACCCTGGGGGACGCCTGCGAAGAGATTGGACCACTCTGAGATAGTCTCGTCGCAGTAGATTCTCTGCTGGCGATCATAAAGATATGATTTAAACCAATCAATCACAGAAGACGAGAAGTTAAGGGAGGCAAGGATAGAAAGTAAAACATCGAAGTCCACTGAGTTAAAGGCATTACTAAAATCAAGCAAAATAAGAATAGTCACTTTCTTATTATCCATGGCGAAACGAATATCGTCAGTGACTTTTAGCAAAGCGGAAGTCGTACTGTGCGAAGGACGGAAGCCAGACTGAAAAGCATTTAATAGGTTATTTCGTAATAAGTACTGACACATCTGCTTAGATACTAAGCCTTCAAAAACTTTCGACAAAATGGGAAGAATTGAGATAGGACGAAACTGTGAGGGAACAATAGGATTGGGGGATTTAGGTAAGGGGATAACATGTGCTAACTTCCAAGCCGCGGGAAATGAGCTAGAAGACAATGAAAAATTAAAAATGTGAGTTAATATATGGCAGATGTGATCAACTGTTACAAGCAGCATATCACGACTAATTTCATCACTCCCAACGGCTTTAGAAGTAGTAGAAAGAATGCCTCTCTTAACATCGTCCTCTGAGATCTCTTGAAAAACAAAAGGGTCACGGTTAGGTTGGTTAGTCATAGCAAGTTGATTAATGGTTAACGTCTTCTCAATATCAGACATTTGAACAGGCGGAGTTGAAAAATGTTGATTCAAGCAGTTGACATTGACGGACTCAAGAGACAAATGTTGTGATTTACCCACACCTAGCGACTTAAAAAACCTCCAAGTTTGAGCCGGTGTGCAATGTAAGATACATGAGTGGATATGGCGGCGCTTAGCATCTCTGCACATCCTATTACAGAGATTACGCAATTTTTTATAGGCTGCAAAATTAGACTCAGTAGGATATCGCTTATATCTGTTCTTAGCTTTATTGCGTTTCGCCATTATTTTTTTGATTGTTGTAGTTAGCCAAGGCGCTGGCAAGTGCTTTACTCTGATTGGAACAGCGGGAGCGTGAATGTCAAATAATTGTATGATCTTGGAATTTAGTATTTGCAATTTTTCGTCTATGTTTGTGGCATTGTATAATAAGGACCAATCTATGTTGACCAGGTCAGAGTAAAATTTCTCGTAATCGATATTTTTGAGATTACGCCTCCAGATTATCTTGGCTTTACGCCTAAGGAGTGACAAATTGTAACTGATGTATATGAGATCGTGATAGGAGAAAGGAGCAGTGAGTTGGCCGAAAGCAAGGATATTTTTAGGATTAGATACAATTATGAGATCGATGAGAGAAGGATTAGAGATAGGAGAAAAATGGGTTTCAGTAAGAGGAAGTATAGTCATATTTAGAGATTCTATTAAGGATTGGAGCTTATGTGATCGAGTATCTTGTTTGAGGAGACATGTATTAAGATCGCCCATTAGAATGGTATGCTCATAAGAAGGTGTAAGAGATTCAAGAAGAGATTCCAACGTGCTAAAATAGTTAACGTTTACAGAGGGACTATAAAGTACACCAAGAAGAACTTTGGAGTGATGAGAAATAATTTCAAGAAAAAGGAATTCAAGGTTACAGTCATCAGTATTAGGGGATTGTTTTATTATGTTGTAATAGATGTTACTTTTGAGATATATGCAAACACCTCCTCCTCTTTTACAAGTGCGATCGTTCCTAATGAGGTTGAAATTAGGAAGAGAGAAAAGGGATGATGAAAGGGACGGTTTCAGCCAAGATTCGGAAACTAAGATACCATCTATTTCAACGTTGCAAAAAAATGCCTGGAGATCAGAGTAATGAGCCGGAATACTTTGTGCGTTTATATGAACCAAGTTCAAAGAATTAGGATTTTTATTAAATATGCTATTAAGTTTGAAATCAAGACGCCCGGACTCGCTATCACAGGAAGCCAAACTAGAAGCACTAAGGAAGTCTTCATTTGAAGAACAAGAGAAGTAATCGTCGTCAAAGTTAAGAATACAATCACAATCAGACATAATAAATAAATAATATTAAATTAATTAAAAAAAAAATAAGTTCAATAATAATAATAAGCTAATTAGAAAAAAAATAAATTTTTAAAAGTATATCAAATTTTAAAAATAGATAAAAATATTTTTGTTTTACAATATACTTAAGACTAAAATTAATAACAACAAAAAAAATGTATACTTTACAAAACTTAAACCTAATAATTATCCTACATTAGCTGGCCTAACTTGTTTTTAACAAAACATCATAACAAAATAAAAATATATGAGAACAAATATTTTAAGAATTTAGGCTATGTCATGTGATACATGTTGTACAGTGTACTGCAAGTATCCGAATGCACGATAGTGACAGCTGAGGAAAACATTACAATATAAAAATATGCACATAACTGGTTACCGCTACTGTTGTTCGTAATTGGTAAAAATTATAACAAGACTACTCAAGAAAAAAAAAGTGAAACCTGATATATAATTATTCAACATAATCATTCACGTAACCATTAAAAAAAAACACTTAATGGAGATTTTATAATGAATATTCTAAGAGAGTGTACATAGAACTAATAACCTAATGATGTGAAAACTTACAAGTACGGAGGCCAATGGAACACTAGTATTACTTCACTATATTTTTACCGGGTCTTCGGGATCTAGATGGTTTCGGATCTTGTGATGTAGTCGCAAGAGGATATTTAGCTATCAATGAATGCATTTCAGCAAATGATGCAACTTTCTTGCGGCTTTTATCTGGCAGCGCAATGGTGATTGAACCTTCATGTGACCAACAATGTTTCATCCCAAAATGTTTTCTGGCAGCGACGAAAATTTCCTGCCTTGATTTTGTCAGAAACTCTGATAAGGTTATTCCGGAGCCCTTAAGAGCAGTCTCGGAGTTCCATATTAAGTGCCTGGATTTTAAGTTAGTGAAGCGAACTAAAATTGGTCTAGGTCTGTCTTTCTTTGTCCCGAGGCGATGGGAAAAGTCAATACTCGATGTATCAAAGTCAGCTAAATTCATCTTCTCAGATCTCACAGTAAGGACTTTACTCTCAGTCTGCTCATCAGAATCTTCAGGAAGCCCATGAAAGAGCAGGACCTTTCTTCGTGACAGCATTTCATGCCTATCAAATCCAGCAGTGAGCAACTGGAGCTGTTGACGGAGCATAGATAAGGATTTCCACATTAAGTCCTTGAAGACCGTGTAATCAGCGGCTAGCGCAGAAATGTCACTTCCAGTGCTTGTGTTTTTAGTAGTAGTCTGACTTTGGACAAGAGACTTTTCAAAAACACTCATTCGAGACTCAAATAAAGCAACAATATCTTCCATGTTTTTTGACAGTTGAGTGTGTAGATCCATGGTATTGAAAATGGTAAATAAGATGTGAGAAATGTGAAAATATATATTTACCAGGTAATGTAGGACAAAAGAGTTAAATATTTAACATTACAAACTAATTTTTGCAATAAAAATATTAATAAAAACTAAATTAAATAACAGGAGGATTTTTTATATTATTCAGCTTAAAAAAGTAAAAAAACGTTGAATTTCATTCATTTGTCAGTTTCCACATTCCTCCCTGGAGATCGAAAACTTTGTCGCTTTCAGAATTTCAATAAAGATGCCGAAATAAATATCGGCTTATCCCCAGCACCCTGGTAATGGTTGAACCGAGGAACAATATCCCGTTCAATATGTTGTCTTTTATGAGGAATTCGCGGAACGCAATATGTTTATTTAATGGGACCATAATTTCCGGATAGGCCGTTACCTTTCTGCGATTAGGCGATCTGATCAATGCAGGATAGTACAATTTTAATAGGGGACATGATATATCATAACTACTTTTATGTTAAAGCTTACATAGTATAAAAATATAACACAAATTACAATCTACTGTTTTTTTTATTTTTAGTTACACTTAGAATTAATTTCTCATCACTTTGATTTCAGATACAAAATATCACTTGTCATTTGGTATATAAATCTTAATTAAAGTCAGTTTTTCTGCTTTAATACGACATCGGAATTCGATAATGCGCTTGTTATCTTCCACATCTCCCCCATTTCTTGCACAGTAGAAATGTATGAAGGGGAAGCGAAAAAATACCCTAATAATGAGTATTGCGGACAGATCTAACTTGTTTGTTCTATCGGTGCACTTGCACTGATGCTGCATCAGTTGAACGATTAGTTGGCAAACTAGTCGAGCTATATAGCCTTTTAAAGATTGTTTGTTGCGGACCGACTGTGGCTTCACGTATGTCATCTCCTATTGTCATATAAGAGTGGTTCATGCTTTGGTTTTATAAAAATAAGCTAGCGTATTTTAATTAAAATACATGCAAAAGAGGATGCTTTGAAAATATAGAAATGAGAGTTATTTAAACACAACGAGTAGTCTTTACCAGTGCTCTGAGTCTCTGTGAATTTTCTTTTTCCTTTGCCTCAGCAATGTGATATGAATATTTTCCTATATATTATTTTTTCTATTTACGTATCAAAATGAAAGTATTAGGCTACGTGTGTTCGAAATCATGAAGGAAATTTTATTATTGGAAAAATATCGTATTCTGTATATGAATAGAAACCTTAAAAAAAGGTTCAAGGGGGAAAATATATTTTTGTAATCATTTATTTAAACTAATGTGGTACTTGAGAAGCTTACTGGAGCAAACAGGAGATCCGTATATGGGTAAAGAGTGGAAACGTCAGCAGAGTCATAAAAATGAATCGATAACACGAATTTAACCCTCCGTTAGAGACCCTCGCATTTTCCGCATTTTGATTTTTCTTGATTGAGTTTAGAATTTCTTACAGCTGTTTGATGAGAATACATAAATTTAAAATTTATTTGAACAAATGTTTCCACGTTATTTATTTTAAAATATAAACAAATACGTTATGTTAGGTTCTTTTTTTACAAAATGACTTTTCTTTAGCATTTTGATTTAAGTTATAAAATGTTGAACGTTTTTTACTATATTTATTGCTTGCAATTTTTATTTTATAAACAATATTTTACACTGCAACTTCAAAGAGTTTGAAATTGATTTTTGTGTTAAAAATTTGGAACTCATTTTATATGGCTAATATGATATGAGCATATGTGAACATGCGCTTATTTTCAGGGAAAATTCCTATTCACTCAAGGATAAAATCGGTATTGCCATCTTTTTATGGCAATAAATAAATAATATTTCACCGTAAAATATATTTTTTGTGGTCGGTGGTATGATGCTACCATATAAACACCTATTTATATTAATTTAAATTTCTCTTTATTTCCTTAGGTGCTGATATTATAACACAAAATGAAGTAATTATTTACATTGTGATTGTTTTTATATAGAAGTAGATTTTTTACAAATGCATTTACGACTAATACCTGCATACAAACATGTGGGACTCACCGGCTAGAAAAGCCATTACTACCCAATAAAACCAAACGGAACCCCATCTTACTAGGGCATTGCAGGAACGCTTACTCAACCACCTCTCAACCACGACGCTCTGATGGCTAGCCCGCCGCGCTAGATCACGACCAAGGGTTAATAATATATATATATATATATATATATATATATATATATATATATATATATATATATATATTTTATAGGAGGAAAGGAATAGTTTTATTTATTTAATTAATATAAATTACATTAATAATTAAAAATATTAGCAACATAATTTTCAGAAGTTTTAGCGAAGTCAAAATTCAAAGACCATTTTGGCTACTTCCGACTAACTTATCTAAGTTTTACACCTGATCAAAAGATGAGTAAGTAATCAAATTCTAAAACTTGGTCCGTATAAAGAAAAACAAATTTGTCGTTTCCATTATCAAAATATTTTAAAGAAATTCGCGATATTTGGACCTTTTTGTAGAAATGGCATTTATGGCTCTAACATTAGCGTTGGTTTTGGGCGGGCTTAGAAAAAAAAATACCCGCCTTCACTTTCGCATGACAGGGAGGGACGACGCCTCCGAAATCCAATATGACAAATTCGGCGGTACGTGACGCGAATGAGTGTGGTACGAATTTATTTGGGCCTAGCCCATCAAATGTCATCTGCCACCTGCGTTGGAATGGCCCGGAGTGATAGATTTCAATGCTAAAGCTTATTTGAATTTCTGTTTATTTGACTACTGTGTGTAAGACTAGGTAAAAATTCGCATATGTAAGAGATAGGTAAGGTAAAAATCTATTAATTAAAAATGTATCTGAATCTTTAGTCATATAAATATCATGTTAAAAGTAGAAAGGTTTCTTCTGCACATTGATTCTTGACTTAACATAAAAATATATATTTCTTTTAATATTCTCTATAGTTTTTTTATGTTATAAAATTAACAAACAAGAAAACAGTATATGTATAGTTGTAAGTTATGAAAGTAATACATAGTATTTATATCACAAACACTGAACTATTTGTTAACAGCGCAATAAAAGCGCAGAAGGAGAGGATAAGACAAATATTTGGTGTGCACATTGACCCGCGACTCCAGCATCAATTGCTAAATGTATCTAAAAGGCCTAAAGCAATAGCTACGGGGTGTTCGAAGGTTGTGTATTCCGGAGTGAAAGATTTAGTGGCAATAACGTGCGATGTTAGCTCTAAGCAATCTGATCTTATTGTGTCTTCGATTGGATTAGTCTCGCTAAGATTGAGATTGGATCTTTTGTGATGCTAACGTACGTACAGATAGTTTTATTTATATATTTAAATGAATTAAGTAAAAAGCTCGTCTAAGTTTTTTTCGAGCCACGCAATATTTTCAGCTATACCTAATAAATAGCTAAGATAATCTTTGTGGTTTAAATTGAACTTTTGCTTTTAATTGAAAGTAACAAATTTTCTTATATTCAAATTTATAATGAACGGTTTTGAAACTTACCCAACTTGAAACCTTGCTGTGAATCCAAGCATTTTTGAGTGATGTGTGATTGAATAGAGACTGTTATAGATATTGCAAAATTATTGAATGTTTGAAACCTGATTTTGATATTTGATAATAAACAATATGTAAAATTTTTATTATTTACCAGCGGTTCTTATAATGGAAACTTCAAACCACTTTTTTTTATCCCTGTAACCGTTTAATTTGCAAAAACCCTTTCTTAATTCTTTCGATATTATATATACATTATATACCTAGGTAAATAAAAAACTTTGTATATACATAATAAATGTACTCACTCTTCCATATGAAATATGTATGTATGTATTCAGCCCTTTTTAACGTCCCACTGCTGGGCACGGGCCTCCCTTCAATACGAGGGGGATCAGGCCATAGTCCACCACGCTGGCCAAGTGCGGGTTGGCCAGCGTGGTGGACTGCTATTGGCCAGCCATATAAAATATACAGGTGTATAAAGAAAACATGACATGACAGACTGTAAGATATAAGATAACGGTGCCTAACAATTAGTTTTAGACTAACCCAATACACTAAGAAATAATAATAGTTTAACGAACTTACGAGTATCTTCATTACCTGTAGTATATATTAATCACATGCCCTCCGTATTCAAGACAGACTTACCTGCTACAATGAAGAGAATTGCAAGACTTCCTAACTTAGTTACTACTTGGTTATCCGAGGATCGAGTTAGGATAAGTTAGATACGACAAAGTAATACCAGTCCAATGGATTTAAAGCACGTGAATAAAATATTGTTAGTGTGTTTTGTATTGCTTTTCATCTGGCACTATTTTACTATAATTGCAGTGTAAGAAATGTATTTGAAAGGTTTTATATTTATTTCTCTATACATTAGTAAATGTATACATATAATAAAATTGTAACTAAGCTGAATCTGTACGTTAAATATTTTTTGGAAAATCTTATTGAAATAAACATTATCGATACAGAGGCCGAATCTATAGTTCTTAGAATTTTTGTCTGTTTGTTACCGCATCACAGAAAAATTACTGGAGGGATTTTGATGAAATTTGGTATGGCGATAGCTGGTTATCCGGGTTAACATATAGGATACGTTTTACCGCGGGAAAATATCTCATTTCTGAGAAAAAAATACAAAAACTGCAATGTAAGAGTATACTAATATGTAAAACCTAAGAATTTGGGTTTTAGTGATCTGAATGCGGGCGGAGATTGTATATAAAATTTGCTAGTTCCTATCCTATGGCTCAGTAGACCTATGTCCAGCAGTGGACAAAAGCAGGCTGAATATGAGGATGATGAAATAACTAGTTCTCTCTGTATTTTTATACTGAGTAACTGAGCTTATTTATATAGCACAACTGTGCATATATTTAAATATAAAAAAAATAGATCTTTAAGTAACAATTATAAATTG